AAATTGCCACATGAGTGCACGCATGCACCGCCTGTCCGCTCAGACCGAATCAGGTCGGGCCGAGTCCGTGGTCCGTGGTCCGTGGGTCGTGGATCATGGATCTTGGATCTTGGGACTTAGGACTTGGACTTGGGCTTGTGGCTTGAGGTTTGCTGGAATGAATTAAGTGTGAGGGTTGGGCTTGGCCTACCTATCTTAATCTTTTTGGGCCAAGCCAGATTTGTGGGCTGTAGAATTATACATAGTCACATGTGTATAATACTTTGTAACTCCTCTTTAATGGTGATGGTTTAATCCATCAATTTTGCATCATTATGTAGATATTAATCCTGCACTTGTTGTAGGAGCCTCTTCCTCTCTCCCTTCATGTATATAAAAGGAGACCCTTCTCCTTTATTCTTTTACACTAGAACACTTCCTTTTTTCTCCAGTTTTATATTATATTATTCTTGTGAGAGAGTGCTGCAAAGTTCTGTTTGCCGAAGCTACTTAGTTGGTGAATTGCTGTAGCTGGTCTAACTGTCGTATCTTTGGAGACAGATGTTGAACAACCTCTAACACCTAATCGGTGAGGAGGCGAATTTGTTTTAAGGATACTGTATAGTGCATGCTTTGATTTTTCTTCTATTGCTATTTTATTTTATGTATTTCTGTTCTTCTAGTTGTAATTTCTACCATGATGTTGTAGTCTATAATTTCAAGTATAAAATATGAATTTATTTGTTCTATTTGATCCCACAATTTATACAACAAAACAAACGTACCATAAGGATTTCAATATCCTATTTCCAAAATGATGTTAGCCTCGCCTGTTCAAATGTTTAGCTTAAGAAAATGACATTAATTTAAAGATGTTGCTTTGTCATTATAAGTCGTCTAAGTGATGACTTAAGCTGTGACAATATTTTGAAGGAAAATTATATACAAGTTTAGTTTTTAGACTCACTTCTGAAACCAAATTACGTATAAAAGAGATAATTGATTGATAATTATAAGAGAGAGAGAGAGAGAGAGAGAGAGAGAGAGAGGAAGAGAAAGAGAGAGTTATATTAAATATTTTGCTACATTTCCACATTATTGTATTTAAAAAGTTGGACTAATTTTTGGGTTAGAATAATGCTACTCTATTTTGAAAGGGAATATGACATATTAGGAGATATTGAGTCATGCTACTCTATTTCGAAATAGTCATGATCATCATGTCGGAATATGTAGTTTTAAGCATATTAGTTTGATTTTATATCTGGAATTCTAGTAAAATGTTTTCACCTCTTGCTTATGATATCTACTTGCTATTTTTTTCTGTCTAACTAACTGAGTAATTGTATATAATTTTACGCAGATAGGTGTTACTATTAAATCCATGGCAAAAACTAATACTACAACAACAAGAACACCTCCTCTGCACAACTCATAGAGAAATTTCTTTGGATAGATCAATGTTGCGATTGTCGGCATGCCCTACTTCTTTTTTCAACAAGAGCTGAGTACCTCTTCTGCTTCCTACCACTCCATTCTTGCCATTATTGTTCCGGTGCTACTCAACTTTATGCAAATCAAGTATCAAAAAATGGAAATCTCACCATTCGAAACTCACCCCAAATCAATGGGTGTTGCCATTGCTAATTTGCTTCTGTATTGCTTTGTCTACAATGCTGAACTGAGATCTTTAAGTCAAACTTATGCTCGTCATAGGATGGTGGTGGTTGGTTAGCTTGGTTTGGCGTCTATGGCTTCAATTCTTTTGGCAAACTCACTTGGGCCTCTTCTCTACTCTCTCTACATATTGTTCTCCGCATGTGAGTTTCTGCACCACGGGCTTTAGATGCTATGGAACTAGCTCCATCATCAGATAGACATAGGGAGAGTTCCATTGATGCTTCCCAGTAGGCTCAGAGCTCAAGCCTTTCCTTACACTCGAGCTATACCATAGCCTCTGTTAAAAAAACTGAAGTAGAAGTCAAAAAAATATGTATAACTCAAGTCCTTAACTTTATTGACTGGAAGTTTGAATAAATAAAAATTCAAAAAACAAACTTTACTAAAAATAAGCAACAACTAATCCATAACTAACAGCTCCTACGCTTATGGGATTTTCCTAGAGAAATGGTTGACAAAGAACCTATTCCCCCAAGAATAGGTCTACCACTATTATTCAGCTAGCTGAAAATAACAAACTAATATCTTAACATACAATCAGTTTAAAGAAAAAACTGAACAAACTCCAAGCAAATCACGCAACTTCACAAATGTAGCCAACTTGAGAGGCTTAGTAAACATATCTGCAATATGATCTTCACTTCGACAATATATCATTTCAATGATTCCATCTTTAGCAAGGTCACGAAGGAAGTGGTACCTCACATCTATGTGTTTGCTTCTTCCATGAAAAACTAGATTCTTGGAGAGTTTGATTGTTGAGCTCTTATCATAGTAAATTTGTAAAGGTCCCTATTGTCTCTTGTGTAACATATCAATGATTCTTTTCAACCAAACAGCTTGACATGCACAAGAAGCTGCTGCAACAAACTCTGCTTCGGTTGTGAACAAAGTAACAACTTGTTATTTCTTTGATGACCATGATATAGTTCCTGAACTCATCATAAAAGCATAACTAGAAGTGTTTCTTCTCCCATCTAATTCACTTGCATAATCACTATCACATAAACCAATGAGATCTGAAGCTACTCTTTCTTATAAAAAAAAACTCCAAAATCAAATATGCCTTTCAAGTAACGTAACACCCTTTTTTGCAGCAAGAAAATGATACTCTATTGGACATTCCATATATCTGCTAATGGGACTAACATAATACATAATGTCTGGCCTGGTGGCTGTTAAGTACATCAAACTTCCAACAATTTATTTAAATAAGGTGAAACCTTCTTCCCTTCAAGATCCTTAGTTAGCTTCAATCCTGGTTCAATTAGGATGCCAACTTGATTGCAATTCATCATCTGAAATATGTCTAGAATCTCCAAAGCATACTTCTTTTGAGTAATGAAAATCCTTGTTGCAGATTACTCTACTTCAATGCCAAGAAAATAGTGCATCATACCTAGATCTGTCATCTCAAATTCAGCCATCATAGAATGTTTAAAATCTTCAAACATGGCTTGATCATTCCCTGTGTAGATCAGATCATCTACATATAAACAAACAATAAGAAGTTTCCCTAAGAATCCAAATTTAATGAAAAGAGTATGCTCATGTGGACATTTTTTGAAGCCTGCCTTTGAAAAATAAGCATGTATACAACTGTACGAAGCTCTAGATGCTTGTTTCAGTCCGTATAAAGCCTTCTTCAACTTGTACACCTTCTTCTCACTACCTTGTTGCACATAACTAGGAGGCTGATCGACAAACACTTATTCATGGAGCTCACCATGAAGAAAGGCAGATTTCACGTCCAATTGGAAACTAGGCCAAGAGTTTTGTGCTGCCAAAGATACTACCAATTGAATTGTATCATGCCTGACAATAGGAGCAAAGACCTCCTTAAAATCAACCCTAAACTCCTGTTTGTAACCTTTTGCAACTAATTAAGCTTTGTGCTTGTCTACTTCTCCATTCTCATTCAGTTTGGTTTTATAAACCCACTTCACAGCGATGGTTTTCTGCCTTTGTGGAAGATCAGAAAGCTCCCATGTATCATTCTTTTCAATAGCCTTTACTTCTGCATCCATGGCTTTCTACCATTTTGAGTCTTTCACTGCATCTTCGAATGCAATTAGATTGGAATCTACAAAAAATGCAAACTGAGCAATGGTATCATCATCAGATAACTCATCACCACTTACATAGTCAATCATCTAAGCTGGCCTTTTTCTTTGGCGTTGAACTTGTGGACTGAATGCATTTTGTGGGTGTTCTTCATTTGAACCACTTATAGAAGGATTAAAGAGCAGTTCATTTGGCAATTGTTACTGCTGGTTAGACTGATTAGTCCCATTTTCGGTTTCTTCACCATCAAAATTTACTAAAATTTGTTGTTGCCCTGCATCATTCTTGTCCCATGCATGCTCTTCATCAAAAATGATATCACGACTTATGATTATCTTCTTAGTGACTGGATTATAGAATCTGTATGCCTTAGATTCTTTACTAACCCCGAGAAAAACACATTTTACCCCTTTGTCAACAAGCTTTTTCCTTTGCACATCAAGAATATGTGCATATATTTTGCACCCAAAAATTCTGAAATGATTAACGGTTGGTTTGTGGTCATTCCAAGCTTTTTCCAGTGTCATGTTCTTGACATCAAAAGTACAACTTCTATTCAGCACATGGACACTCCAATTAACAGCCTCAGGTCAAAAACTCTTTGGAATTGTCTTCTTTACCAACATACTCTGTTCCATGTTCAAGATTGTACGATTCTTTTTCTTTAACACACCATTCTACTGTGGTGTGTAGGCTGCTGTCAATTGTTTCCAGATTCCATGTATTGCACAAAAGGATGCAAATTCATAGGAATTAAATTCGCCACCACAATCAGTTCGAAGGATTTTAATATCCTTCCATGACTCCTTTCTCAACTAATGTTTTAAAGCTTTTAAATACACTAAAAGCTTCACTCTTTGCCTGCAAGAAATAAATCCAAGTCTTCCTGCTATAGTCATTTATAAATGAAATAAAGTATCTTTTGTTGCTGTTTGAGGCTGGATTAATTGAACCACAGAGGTCTGAATAAATTAGCTACAATCGATGCTTAGCTCTCCATGCTTTTCCTTTTGGAAAAGAAATGCGAGGTTGTTTACCAACAACACAATCCTTACACATTGCTAATGAAGCATTGATTTGAGGAAGACCAGTCACCGTGTTCTTCTGCTCCAAAGTCCCCAAACCCTTGAAATTAAGATGGCCATACGTAAGTGCCATAACCAAGTAGACTCTTGTACTTTAGCTATCAAGTAGGCCTAATCATTATTCTGAACAGGTAGAGGAAACAAACGATTGGCTGTCATATTAACTTGAACTATTAAACCCTTCTCAGGGTGTTAAATTGAGCAATAACCCTTTCGAATGATGATCGTATAACCTCTTTCTTGCAGCTGTCCCATGCTAATAAGATTGCTCTTTAAATCTGGAACATGGAAAACACCAGGAATTTTGAAAAAATGATCTTTGACTTGCAATCGAATAGTACCTTTTCCCATGACAGTCATTCTTGAATTATTCCCTAGCTTGACAATATCTTTAAATGACTCATCTAAATTAGAAAATAAGGATTTGTTACCACACATATGATTACTGCAATCAGAATCTAAATACCACTTGTTTGAATGAGCATCTTCCTGGTGATGGTAAGCCATTAATAATGTTTTTTCTTCTTCTTTCTCTGCAAAGTTAGACTTTTCTCCCTTGTCTAAATGAAAGTTTGTAGTGCATTTAGACTTATATTTGCAATCGAATAATCAGAATTGGTTGAGTACTGATTATTACATCATCTGCCTCTACCTCTGCATCTGCCTCTTCCTCTGCCTCTGAAATTCGTGCCTTTTCCTCTTCCTCTACCTCGTCCTCGGCCTTTTCCATGACCTTGGCCTAACCCTCTCCCTGTGGGGGAATCAATGTGAGTTGACACCTTCAAAGCTTGTTCTTCTGTAGAAGGAGTAGCCACTCTATACTCATGAACAAGCAAAGAACTTTGTAGTTCATCAATGGAAAAAACATCAATGTCCTTTGATTCTTCAATTGACCAGACCACATATGCAAATTTGGGAGACATCGACCACAAAATCTTTTCAACCACAACATCTTCCAAGTTGTCACCATGAATATGCATCTTGTTTGTTATCATCACCGTTCTAGCAAAATACCCATAAATTAACTCTCCCTCCTTCATGTGAAGAGTCTCAAAGTCTTTGTGAAGAGCTTGGAGTTGTTGTCGTTTCACTCTTGCTGAGCCTTTATATTATTTCTTCATGGAATCCCATATTTGTTTAGAAGTGTCCTTTTGGAGAATAGTCTCTAAAATAGCACAATCAATCGCTTAAAAAAGATAATTCTTTGCCTTGAGATCCTTTAGCTTCAGTCTGTCCAATCCTTTTTGCTAGGCTTCTGTCAACACTACTTCACTAGCTGGTTCAACAACACCAGTTTCCACGATAGTCCAATATTCCTTGGATCTTAGGAAATTATCCATCAACATGCTCCAATGTTCATAGTAACCATCAATGCAAGGAATTGCAGGTTGTGCATAATTATTGTCAGATGCCATTGATTCTTGCTACTGCAATTGAAGAGCTACTGCTTCTTTTCTACCTTAAGCCCCTCTCAGAAGGCTCTAATACCAGAATGTTAAAAAAAAACTGAAGTAGAAGTCAAAAAAATATGTATAACTCAAGTCCTTAACTTTATTGACTGAAAGTCTGAATAAATAACAATTCAAAAAACAAACTTTGCTAAAAATAAGCAACAACTAATTCATAACTAATAGCTCCAAAGCTTATGGGATTTTCTTAGAGAAACGGTCAACAAAGAACCTATTCCCTCAAGAATAGGTCTACCACTATTATTCAGCTAGCTGAAAATAACAAACTAATATCTTAAAAGCCTCATGTCTAAATTGAAGTGAGCATTACAAAGGATAAAAATTCTCAAGAATTTTGTTGTGTGTGTCTGATACAACTATTTCAGGTGTTTTGTTTGTCTTTTAATTATTTATTGTTTTTGGTCCTTGTAATGATTTCCACGTATAGCCACCCATGTTTTTCAATAAAAGTGACAGCCGTACATACTTAGGTGGTTGTTCCAACTACTACAAGTTAAAAAAAAAAAAAAAAAAAAACAACAACAACAACAACAAAAAAAACAACGGATTGCTAAATTAATTAATTTTCTTCGATCATCAATCCTTTAATCCTCAATCATGTTTTGGACTGATGAGGCACATGAAGTAGCTGCTTGTGTTCGAAAATCCAGCAAGTGATCTTTGCCATAGATTGGGTCATAACGTACCAAGTACTATAAGAAAAAGAAAAAAAAAACGAATTGCTAAATTAATTAATTTCTTCCATCATCAATCCTTTAATCCTCAATCATGTTTTGGACTGATGAGGCACATGAAGTAGCTGCTTGTGTTCGAAAATCCAGCAAGTGATCTTTGCCATAGATTGGGTCATAACGTACCAAGTACTATAAGAAAAAGAAAAAAAAAACGAATTGCTAAATTAATTAATTTCTTCCATCATCAATCCTTTAATCCTCAATCATGTTTTGAACCAATGAGGCGCAAGAACTAGTTGCTTGTGTTCAAAAATCCAGCAAGTGATCTTTGCCATAGATTGGGTCATAACGTACCAAGTACTATAAGAAAAAGAAAAAAAAAACGAATTGCTAAATTAATTAATTTCTTCCATCATCAATCCTTTAATCCTCAATCATGTTTTGAACCAATGAGGCGCAAGAACTAGTTGCTTGTGTTCAAAAATCCAGCAAGTGATCTTTGCCATAGATTGGGTCATAACGTACCAAGTACTATAAGAAAAAGAAAAAAAAAACGAATTGCTAAATTAATTAATTTCTTCCATCATCAATCCTTTAATCCTCAATCATGTTTTGAACCAATGAGGCGCAAGAACTAGTTGCTTGTGTTCAAAAATCCAGCAAGTGATCTTTGCCATAGATTGGGTCATAACGTACCAAGTACTATAAGAAAAAGAAAAAAAAAACGAATTGCTAAATTAATTAATTTCTTCCATCATCAATCCTTTAATCCTCAATCATGTTTTGAACCAATGAGGCGCAAGAACTAGTTGCTTGTGTTCAAAAATCCAGCAAGTGATCTTTGCCATAGATTGGGTCATAACGTACCAAGTACTATAAGAAAAAGAAAAAAAAAACGAATTGCTAAATTAATTAATTTCTTCCATCATCAATCCTTTAATCCTCAATCATGTTTTGAACCAATGAGGCGCAAGAACTAGTTGCTTGTGTTCAAAAATCCAGCAAGTGATCTTTGCCATAGATTGGGTCATAACGTACCAAGTACTATAAGAAAAAGAAAAAAAAAACGAATTGCTAAATTAATTAATTTCTTCCATCATCAATCCTTTAATCCTCAATCATGTTTTGAACCAATGAGGCGCAAGAACTAGTTGCTTGTGTTCAAAAATCCAGCAAGTGATCTTTGCCATAGATTGGGTCATAACGTACCAAGTACTATAAGAAAAAGAAAAAAAAAACGAATTGCTAAATTAATTAATTTCTTCCATCATCAATCCTTTAATCCTCAATCATGTTTTGAACCAATGAGGCGCAAGAACTAGTTGCTTGTGTTCAAAAATCCAGCAAGTGATCTTTGCCATAGATTGGGTCATAACGTACCAAGTACTATAAGAAAAAGAAAAAAAAAACGAATTGCTAAATTAATTAATTTCTTCCATCATCAATCCTTTAATCCTCAATCATGTTTTGAACCAATGAGGCGCAAGAACTAGTTGCTTGTGTTCAAAAATCCAGCAAGTGATCTTTGCCATAGATTGGGTCATAACGTACCAAGTACTATAAGAAAAAGAAAAAAAAAACGAATTGCTAAATTAATTAATTTCTTCCATCATCAATCCTTTAATCCTCAATCATGTTTTGAACCAATGAGGCGCAAGAACTAGTTGCTTGTGTTCAAAAATCCAGCAAGTGATCTTTGCCATAGATTGGGTCATAACGTACCAAGTACTATAAGAAAAAGAAAAAAAAAACGAATTGCTAAATTAATTAATTTCTTCCATCATCAATCCTTTAATCCTCAATCATGTTTTGAACCAATGAGGCGCAAGAACTAGTTGCTTGTGTTCAAAAATCCAGCAAGTGATCTTTGCCATAGATTGGGTCATAACGTACCAAGTACTATAAGAAAAAGAAAAAAAAAACGAATTGCTAAATTAATTAATTTCTTCCATCATCAATCCTTTAATCCTCAATCATGTTTTGAACCAATGAGGCGCAAGAACTAGTTGCTTGTGTTCAAAAATCCAGCAAGTGATCTTTGCCATAGATTGGGTCATAACGTACCAAGTACTATAAGAAAAAGAAAAAAAAAACGAATTGCTAAATTAATTAATTTCTTCCATCATCAATCCTTTAATCCTCAATCATGTTTTGAACCAATGAGGCGCAAGAACTAGTTGCTTGTGTTCAAAAATCCAGCAAGTGATCTTTGCCATAGATTGGGTCATAACGTACCAAGTACTATAAGAAAAAGAAAAAAAAAACGAATTGCTAAATTAATTAATTTCTTCCATCATCAATCCTTTAATCCTCAATCATGTTTTGAACCAATGAGGCGCAAGAACTAGTTGCTTGTGTTCAAAAATCCAGCAAGTGATCTTTGCCATAGATTGGGTCATAACGTACCAAGTACTATAAGAAAAAGAAAAAAAAAACGAATTGCTAAATTAATTAATTTCTTCCATCATCAATCCTTTAATCCTCAATCATGTTTTGAACCAATGAGGCGCAAGAACTAGTTGCTTGTGTTCAAAAATCCAGCAAGTGATCTTTGCCATAGATTGGGTCATAACGTACCAAGTACTATAAGAAAAAGAAAAAAAAAACGAATTGCTAAATTAATTAATTTCTTCCATCATCAATCCTTTAATCCTCAATCATGTTTTGAACCAATGAGGCGCAAGAACTAGTTGCTTGTGTTCAAAAATCCAGCAAGTGATCTTTGCCATAGATTGGGTCATAACGTACCAAGTACTATAAGAAAAAGAAAAAAAAAACGAATTGCTAAATTAATTAATTTCTTCCATCATCAATCCTTTAATCCTCAATCATGTTTTGAACCAATGAGGCGCAAGAACTAGTTGCTTGTGTTCAAAAATCCAGCAAGTGATCTTTGCCATAGATTGGGTCATAACGTACCAAGTACTATAAGAAAAAGAAAAAAAAAACGAATTGCTAAATTAATTAATTTCTTCCATCATCAATCCTTTAATCCTCAATCATGTTTTGAACCAATGAGGCGCAAGAACTAGTTGCTTGTGTTCAAAAATCCAGCAAGTGATCTTTGCCATAGATTGGGTCATAACGTACCAAGTACTATAAGAAAAAGAAAAAAAAAACGAATTGCTAAATTAATTAATTTCTTCCATCATCAATCCTTTAATCCTCAATCATGTTTTGAACCAATGAGGCGCAAGAACTAGTTGCTTGTGTTCAAAAATCCAGCAAGTGATCTTTGCCATAGATTGGGTCATAACGTACCAAGTACTATAAGAAAAAGAAAAAAAAAACGAATTGCTAAATTAATTAATTTCTTCCATCATCAATCCTTTAATCCTCAATCATGTTTTGAACCAATGAGGCGCAAGAACTAGTTGCTTGTGTTCAAAAATCCAGCAAGTGATCTTTGCCATAGATTGGGTCATAACGTACCAAGTACTATAAGAAAAAGAAAAAAAAAACGAATTGCTAAATTAATTAATTTCTTCCATCATCAATCCTTTAATCCTCAATCATGTTTTGAACCAATGAGGCGCAAGAACTAGTTGCTTGTGTTCAAAAATCCAGCAAGTGATCTTTGCCATAGATTGGGTCATAACGTACCAAGTACTATAAGAAAAAGAAAAAAAAAACGAATTGCTAAATTAATTAATTTCTTCCATCATCAATCCTTTAATCCTCAATCATGTTTTGAACCAATGAGGCGCAAGAACTAGTTGCTTGTGTTCAAAAATCCAGCAAGTGATCTTTGCCATAGATTGGGTCATAACGTACCAAGTACTATAAGAAAAAGAAAAAAAAAACGAATTGCTAAATTAATTAATTTCTTCCATCATCAATCCTTTAATCCTCAATCATGTTTTGAACCAATGAGGCGCAAGAACTAGTTGCTTGTGTTCAAAAATCCAGCAAGTGATCTTTGCCATAGATTGGGTCATAACGTACCAAGTACTATAAGAAAAAGAAAAAAAAAACGAATTGCTAAATTAATTAATTTCTTCCATCATCAATCCTTTAATCCTCAATCATGTTTTGAACCAATGAGGCGCAAGAACTAGTTGCTTGTGTTCAAAAATCCAGCAAGTGATCTTTGCCATAGATTGGGTCATAACGTACCAAGTACTATAAGAAAAAGAAAAAAAAAACGAATTGCTAAATTAATTAATTTCTTCCATCATCAATCCTTTAATCCTCAATCATGTTTTGAACCAATGAGGCGCAAGAACTAGTTGCTTGTGTTCAAAAATCCAGCAAGTGATCTTTGCCATAGAT